TCTTCTTCTTCTTCTTCTTCTTCTTCTTCTTCTTCTTCTTCTTCTTCTTCTCCTTCTCCTTCTCCTTCTCCTTCTCCTTCTCCTTCTCTTCTTCTTCTTTCTGCACATTTTCTTAGGACAAGTGAGTCTTCTAATTTCTTGTCACCTTGATTAGGCTTTAAGAACCAAGAATAATTCAGAAATGTTCTGCAAGTGGATGATGTCAGTGAAGAGCATGACAGTTGAAACATCTTAAGAGCCATCCATTCCTTCACTTACAATATCTGAGAGCTTTGTAGATGCCCGTCACTGTATTAGAATATTCTATTTGAGAAAAATTTAGAGATGATCTTGAAATATAGTGTCTTACAATGTGCTCACATGCTTCACTTTTAGATTTCCTATGCAGTCATGACTCTTCCTAATTCATTATATCTGTTTCCTTTGCTTCCCCCTCACAGACACTTCATGCTTATTATGTCTTAGAAGTGCTATTTGAAACCAAGAAATTACTGAAGCAAAGGCCAAATTTCACTCATCTGAAAACTTCTGCTTCCAAAGGCCTAACAATCTGTGGTAAGTTTAAGAGCAGGGTTCTCAAATTAATATTTGGAGCCTCTTGGTCTTACATCATTTGCCTAACTTGAATACTGTTTAAATTGGACTGTGTTAAGGGAAATGTTAATATAGAATTATCTATCATGATAACACTGTTCCCCATCTTGTCTTTGTTTTGCATACCAGCTGGCAGGAATTAATTATGTGAGAAATTAAAGAACTCATAGCTTTTTATAAATGCAGATAGCATTTTAATATGGAAAACCACCCATGGGTGACATAAGCATTCTTTGCCCTCTGACTAGCTCTCATTATCTTCGCTCCATGTTCCTTTTTCTAGGTGAGCCGCTGCATGCCACTTCTGCTGCTAAGAGAAAAACCCAAGGCAGGGTGGAGATTAAATTCTTTTCTGCCCTTGGCTGCTGTTTTAGATTTTTCCAACTGGTCTCTGCAGCTTTTAGAAGAGTAGGAATGTCCCAGAAATCTGTTTCTTGTTCTTCTAAATAACAAGATTTGAGATTTTGTTATCATATAGGCCAGGCTGGCAGGATATTGCTTCAAGAAACAGTACACATTGAAATTCATCACAGTTGGTGCTCAGCATGCTTGCAACTGTCTGGAGTGGGGTGCGTGGAAGGAACAGCAATTCGCTTAACTTCTAATTAAGCCTTTAGGTTACAAAACAGTGATTGTTATTTTCCAAATCAATTTTTAAGCCTGTGTTTTTCTTACCCTGGCAGGTAGAAGTGAATTTGACAATCTAATTAAACTATATCCATTTCTAGAATCTGATAGTGGCGACCGGGTATAGGGGCTTGATGTAGCAGTATATACCTCATGACACACCCTGACTCAGGGTTTTGAAGTCTCTAATGGTTCAATTCCAACCTAATCAAGCAACCATCCCTCTGACTAGCAGATGATATATCTTGGCATGGGGGCCTTTTATTAAATGCCTTATCACGTCTTACTTCTCATGGAAATAGATAACTCTGAATCATAAGATTCAAAATGCCATTCTTCCAAGGTCTAAGAATCCAGGACTCGGCTTGCTGCCAGAGTACGCGTAATAGAACAGAGTGTGGCATCTGCTCCCATGTGCTTCTATGATATCTCCAGTTGTCATTTCTAACTTGTCTTTGGCCAAAAGACATGAGTTAGTTAGAGGGCATGGAAATCCTAGTATCCTAGTGTGAGAGCTGAAATGTTCTTACAGAGACGATCTAGTCTATCTCCCTGCTATTTATTTTTTTATTGTGATGCTGGAGACTGAATCTAGGGCCTTGTGCATACTAAGCAAGCAGTCTAAAACTGAAATATACTCCCACCCCTATCTTTGGCTCTTTTGGGTAAAATTGTGGCTCAGAGAGAAAAGTGTATTGCCTTCCATGCTCTTCTATGTAGTAACTCCCCACTCCAGCTCAATTAGTAAGGTGGTGGCAGGGTCAGAGTTAGAAGTCACGTTCTCTATATGTACTTGTTTAGAGGCAGATCCATATATAGTCTCATCATGTACCTGTCTAGCTAATGTCTCATTTTATATCATGAAACAAAATGTAGGGGGTGGGTAGATTGAATCATCCCATGCATTTGAGAATCTTTACATCATGGGCATATATTCCCAGAATTTTCTGCATATCATCATTGATAAATGGAACAGCCAAGATTAGTCAGATTTCCTGTGTTACAAGTACCTGATAGTTTCACCTTAAAAAAAGAGAGGTTTATTTTGGCTGATGGTTTCAAAGGGGTCAGTCTATGGTTATTTGGTCCCAAGGCAGATGTAGTATGGTGGAAAGGATGGCAAAGGATAGCTACTCATCCCTATAGTAGCCAGAAAGTAGAAAGACATGGAGGGAGGGGAGGGGAGAGGGGAGGGAAAGATAAGGGAGGAAGTAAGAGAGGGAGGAAGGAGGAACTGGGGATAAGAACAGACTTTTCCTAGTTATGTCCCCAGTGACCTACCTCTTCCTACCAGGCCCCACCTCCTAAATAACACATTCATCCATGATCTCACCAATGAATTAATCCACTGATGATTGTGGTGCCTCCATGATCCAAACACCTTCCAAAAGCCCCACCTCTGAAAACGTGAGACTTTTGGTGCATATTTTAGGATCTAAACCAGAATAATTCCCTTAACATAGGAATAATTATTTTGTCTTTTTAATGGTCTTTGAAAATTTACTCATCATTTAAAATAGAATTTAAGGGCCAGTGAGATACCTCAGTGGACTAAGGACCTGCTTAGGCAAGCGCAGGGGACCATGGTTTGATCCCTGGCACCACATGCTACTCCAGCCCCACCCCCAGGGTGGGCTGAGCTGGCCAGAGTCTGGGCATAGTGGCTCATGCCTGTAATCCCAGCACTGGGGAGGCTGAAAGCAGGAGGATCACCATGAGTCCAAGCTGCGTGGTGAGATCCTGCAACAACCAAATACATGAAAAATATAATAAATAAATAAAAATAAAATAGAATTTAAAGTTGAGGCTAATTTGCAACCTTATCTTCTGTTTAAGAAAGTATTAGTGAAGGGAGGGGCATTATGTTAATTATTTTATTTTAATCTCAAAGTGGATTTTCATGCACACATCTAAACATTTCTCATACCGATTTGATTTGAAACTGTCTCATTGCTATCTGTTTATCAATAAAACTTTGAAAAAAAAGAAACAACAACAAAAAAATAAAAAATAAACATTTCTCATAGCTCTCAGCATATATGAAATATGGAAATTCTTTGCTCTATCATTAAATTATAAATGATAATTTTGTAATTATGCTTGTGCTTGCTGTGGAAATTGCTTTACGTCTCTTCATGGTATGGTTTTCCTTTGCTAACCAACTGGAAACTACAAATATTTTTGTAGCCTCAACTGTGGCTTTTTTCTGTGCTGAAGGTCAAACCCAGAATCCTCATTTTTTAATATGCTGAAAGAAGTTCATTTTTCTAGCATGTCATTGCTAGAAAAATTAGCCCTGTATATCTGTTATTGCCCTGTATATCCAAATATGTGAAAGACAAGTCATTCCAAAGAAGAATGAGAAAATAAAATAATTTTAAAAATAAGCTAAACTGATAAACAAAATGTTTTTCCAACTGTATTTCCTTACCTGTAGAGTGAAACCTATGAAAACATGAAATTTAGGCATTTACTAACATTAATATACTCTTAGTCTTATTGTTAATATTATGGTCATTGTATTAATAAGTGCTATTGATATAGGATTTTATTATTCCCACTGTAATTGGAGTCTTTTGTTGCATATATTTGATTAATCTTTTTCTAACTTTAAGAAAACTGAGGGAAAGTGTTCTTAAATTCAATTCTATGATAATTTAGATATGAAGAATAAAATTTTATGAGCAGAGCTTATGAAAGACAGATATTTAACCTAGAAATGTTTATACAAATAGGGCTTTTGAATATTCATGTAGTTAACTTATTTTTAAATTTATAGCTTCATTTTTTTAGCTTTATATATGCTTATGATTCCCCTTAGTTGGCTTTAATTTTTATTTTATGTAACTGTCTCATCAAAAGAATGTCAACTACCTACTCACAACTTTACTCTTTCTGACTCTATTACTGGATTATATTCTTTAAAACATATCTTTTCAAGGCGATGCATGTAGTGATTCAGTGCACTTACCAAGCGCCTACAATTCACTGATACATTGGTAGGCCCTTGAGGATTCTAACACTGACAGTGATGCATACTACTGTGACTCTCCTAGGGCTTACAGTGGAGGTAGCGCAGAGTAATCCCTAAGAGCTCCAGTTTTAAAGTGAGATAGCACTATTGGAATTCTAGCTCTGATATTTAGTATCTGAGTAACTGCATAAGTTAATTAACTACTGTGAGCCTCACTTTAAAAATGAAAATGATGAAAGGAATACTCATCTCCTAAGTATAAGGGTTAAACAAGATAGCATAATACAACCTTTAGTTTAGTGCTTGTCCCAGAGTAAGTGATGTCCTGCATAAATGGCTGGAGGGAGCAGGTAATTACAATACCAGAAACCTTCTCCACTATAGGAGTAGAAAAAGAGTGCAAAGGAAGCAAATTGCTTGCTAAATTAGCATCATCTTAGGGTAAAAACCCAATGCCCTGAGAATACTTGGAGTATTTGAGCTTTAAAATTCTGTAACAAACTAGGCATTGCATCTTGCTTACTTTTGAATACTGATTTTTTTTTACTTGTCTAATAGGTGATTTGCATGGAAAACTAGATGATCTTCTCTTGATCTTCTACAAGGTAATTGATTATTTTGCTAATATTTGCATTTGTGAAGGTAGTTCTAAGGCAGATAGCAATATTAGTTCTAGTAGAGACATGTACACACAAACACACATAATAATAACAGTTTTTGT